GCCTCAACCGTCACACTTATGTAGCTGGCATCCCCTTTGCACGTCAACTATGACTTCTTTTGCCTTCAGAAAAGTCTCGTCGTCCCCACAATCTGCTTTTTCTATGGGAGTGGAAGCAGTGGGAGGGAAAACCAATGTAACTGTTAACTGTTCGCAAGCACAAATTACCTCAATTGATAGCTCGATAGTATTTCGATCTTACCGTGGCAATGCGTTGGTAAACAGGGCGCTCAAAAGTGGTTTCACTACTGTTTACTTTCTAACACCAAAATCCATTTTCAACCTGCTGATTCGGCACATGCAAAGCACATGACGTAAAGTTGCCAATTGAACGTACAATTGGTTACCTATGCTTTGTGGCCTGAGCGCAGTGAAAACGTTTTTTTAATGAAAAAACAAAGTAAGTTCAACTGAAAAACATACACTTGAAAAAACTGAGACGCGGCAGCGCTGTTCTGTAAAGGTGCAAAGACCTCCGGTGAGACCCCAATTCCAGGTAGACCCAGCGGAGGCATTTGGGCAACCTCAGGTGTAAATTGAAAAGACATGACCTGTTTCAGAGCTGCCTCATTGGGCTGCGCAAAGACAGGTGCATGCAACACCTCTGGCGTGGCTCTAGGCTGTTGGGAGAAAACGTTTCCAACTCCTGTTACTGCTGGTAGGCTGTTGCCCAGGCCATTTGCTAACGCAGTCCCCGACACTGCTCCTGAGGCCAGAAGGACGTTCAACCTGATAACGTTATTTGAAGAGGGTTTGAATGGACTGCAAGTGAAAGTTGTGTCTATTGTGGACATTTGGTAAAGTACGAATAGCTTGCAATTTAAAAAGGGATTGGAGTCATTCAGTATAAGACATGACCTTAGAGAAGTTAGATGATGCTGGTGATGCGAAGACACTCCATCTCCGAAGTGAGCGAAGACATATTATGAGGGATCTTCGAATGTGCAGTCAAGGTTACTCGCAAAAATGATACTCATTTAATAAACTTGGAAAGTAAGGTGATTACAACCATCAGCAGAACGAGTACTCTCAAGAGTGATGTAATGCATGGGATTGGCAAAAGTACTTCCACTGTAATAAAGAAAGGAAAACTAGCAGTAAAAGCAACCAAGTAATTTTTGCAGCTAAGTGATTACAGGTAGGTGGTGAGAAATTTTTCAATTGTTTGACTAATCGCAAATGACAGCCCCGATCATTTTTTCTACCCTTTTCATTACTCTGCCTCATCTCGCCCTCACCCAAGTCAAACTCTGTCAATGATCCTCCAGTTCCGATAGCTAAGGAAAAAGTGCGAAAGGGAGAGGGGA